AAGCGCACCCACAAAAATTTTCCGGAAACGTGATTTTTAACCAATCAAATTTCAAGATCAGGTGTAACGTAAACAATCGAAGCGAAGGCACTTTTTTACAAGAAAACAGAAATAACTCTGAATTTTAATTAAGAAACCATCTATTGCGGCCTAATTAAAAATGCTCCTTGTGAAATTTTACTATTAGACGTTGAGTTACTCTGATCCTAACCCTAACTACAACGCTGTTTTATTCTTGAGAAAATTTTTGTGGGTACGCTACCTAAAATCCATCCCTACGCGCACTAGCCCTAGTACTACCGTTTCATTTACAGATGGCCGGCCAATAGAACTTGGGGGAAAATTAGTAAATTGTTACATATTAATGAGTGCCGACTTTCAATTATAATTTGTGTACGTATATAATTTGTAATTGATGACGGTACTCTTATAAAATTTAATCTTGTACTCTTTCTTAAAATAATGAGCATTCCTTTTTTTTTTCACAATGTCGAATTTTAGAAAGAAATCTTTGAACTCAATAAATATTTTTGCGTTCTTTTCTTTGGTTCTATTTTTAGTATTGACGTTTTTTAATAATTATTACTATTTAAATTTTACGGAATTCAACCAACAGAAAACATACCCGTTCACGATAGTAACAGGCGCAAGTTCCGACCATTTTTGTTCTCTTCAGTCATGGCTTTATTATATGTCTTTATCATTGTCACCTATCCCTGCGACCTATCACCCTAGGATAATAGTTTATGATCTAGGCCTTCTAAATTTTCAACGCAGAGCACTCACCTATCTTCAACAAAAAAATTATCTCACTCACTATAGACTTTTTAATTTTTTAAAATTTCCTTCATTTTGGAATATATCAATTTCTAAAGGTGAATACGCGTGGAAACCTGCAATAATTGCTGAAATTTTTCGGGAATTCCCTGGCATAGTTTTGTGGCTAGATTCAGGAACCTTTGTATCATCTGATTTTTTAATGAATGTTGAGAAGCTGGTTAATGCCCATGATGGTTTTTTTTCTCCAAAAAGTAATGGAAATTTGTTGAAGTGGACACATCCCGGCGTTTTTAAATATTTCAATGATTCAACAAAAAAAACAAAGTACGAGAAATCAGTTAACTGTAATGCTGCTGCATTGTTATTTGACACCGAACGTGTATCCCACATAATAGAGGAATGGGAAAAGTGCGCTCATATAAAAGAATGCATAGCACCAAATGGCAGCAATAGAACTAATCATAGGCAGGATCAGGCTATACTTACTTATCTTATGTTAAACAATAAGAGGAGATGTGGTGGTGACTTAAAATCATTTGGAATGAGGACGCACATGGATGTATATTGCGCTCAGATGATATGGGAATACGAGGAGATCTATGGTGAAATTTGGAGCCCAAGCGCTCAAGATTTGAAAGAAATAAGGGAAATGATAGAAAATTCACCTGAGCTTATTATTTATGATATTTGGACTAAAAGTGGTAAAGACGCAAATTTAAAAGAAATTCAAAAAAACGGGAATTACTCTTTAAAGCTTGGGGATGTTTTTCTAGAGGAAAATGATGGGAAGAGAATAAAGAACAGTAATCTAAAGGCAACCCCAAAAAAAAAGACAAAAATAGTAAAAGCAAAACCAAAAAAAAACAACAAAAATAGTAAAACAAAACCAAAAAAAACAAAAATAGTAAAAGCAAAAACAAAAAAAAAAACAAAAAATAATACATAGAATAAATTAATAGAAAAGTCAAATTTCATTAGTCATAATATGATTTTATTTTTTAAATATAAATATATATTTATTATTATTAAGTGTGGCCAAAATGATCTCAATCTTAATCTTTAATTACAACAATGCAAAATTAATAATTTTATTTAAGCCATTAGCAACAAATAATAAAGATGTCCATCAAATAATATTAATATGTTCTGTACGAATAACCTAATTTCTTATGAATCGAGTTATTTTAACAATTAACTTACACGTAACAATTTTAAAATTCATCAAGTTGTTTAATTGCTTCTTCATATTTTCTCTCGGCTTCCTGGAATTTGCTAGTCACTTCTTCGAGTTTCTTTTCTACTTCTGCTTTCTCTGTTTCAAGTTGCTGAACCTTACGTTCAAAATGTTCTGCCTTAACATCTGTTTGACGTAGTCTTTAAATAAAAATAAATAAATAAATAGATCACATTAACTCAAACATCATTTTATTATTGAATATGTACTATTTGCTTATTCTGAATAATTATACATACTTTTCTGTTGTCTCTCTCAGATTTTTTTCAGTGTTATCCAATTCATTTTCAAGTAAAGCGACTTTTCTCTGAAGACTTTCTGAGACGTTCTTGGTATTCTCTTCTTCTTCTTTGGCAAGTTTAGAATCTGCAATTTTTTTTTCTGCTCGTTCGACTTCAGCTTCTAAAAGCGCAATTTTATTTTGAAGAGAGATATTTTCCTGCTCTTTAGCAGTTAATTCTTGTTCGATTTTTTTATATTGAGCTTCTGCTTCTTCTGCACGCTGAACAGCGGCATCGGTTTCAGCACGTAATTTATCAAGTTTCTTCAGGAGAAGTAAAAAGAATTTTTATAGTTATTTGATTGAAAACGAGAAATTTGGTATAACTACGTGATTTCTTTGTGCAAACGCTCAAAAATAATAAAATATCACTTGATTCTAGATGTTCGGTAACATTGCTCAGCATTAATGCCCAAAATAGAATTTACTTACTTTCTTAACGTTGTCCATTGCTTAAAGTATGAATTTAAAACCAGAGAATTTTAGTAGCTTAGAAAGAAATTATAATGTAAAACATAAAACACAATGCAGTTTTCTCGTTAACTTGTATCACTTGTATCACTAAATTCAACTGCACATATCAATAACTCAGGTCAATTCATACGTATACAGTATATACCTGATACTGTATATGTATATGCAAAAATTTAAACCGTTATACGTTGTTTAGCTTGGGAAACGTGGCAAGGTACCAGCGAACAGAAAGCCGACACTAACTCTTAACAAATTACAGTAATTAATATAGTAGAGAAACATTTACTCCGCTAGCAACCTCCTCAAACGAAAATACCGAAGAAACTCCAC